CTGCTCCCCAGCCACTCCTCTCCCAATTTATAGTTGTGACTGGCATTACTCCATCCCAGGTGCAGAATCCTGCATTTGGACTTGTTAAATTTCGCTCCATTAATCATAGCCCAATGCTCCAACCAATCCAGATCCCTCTGCAAGGCCTCCTGTCCCTCAAGAGAGGCAACAGCAGCTCCCAGTTTGGCATCATCAGCAACTCCTGCATCCAGATCATTGATAAACACATTGAACATAACTGGACCTCGAATTGAACCCAGAGGAACACTGCTGGTGACCGGTCATCAGCCAGATGTAGCCCCATTCACTACAACCCTTTGAGCTCTGCCCCTCAGCTCGTTCTTCACCCAGCACACTGTGAACTCACTCATTCCACAGCTGGACAACTTGTCCAGAAGGATGCTGGAGGGACACCATCAAAAGCCCTACTAAAATCCCGAAAAACTACATCCACTGCCTTCCCTTCATCCACTAGTTGAGTGACCTTACTGTAGAAGGATACCAAGTTAGATAAACAGGACTTTCCCTTTGTGAGCCCACATTGACTGGGTTGCTGACTGCATTATTCTTTCAATAGTACCCAGTATAATCTTCTCCATTATTTTCCCAGGAAGTGAGGTTAGACTAACAGGTCTGTAGTTCCCTGGTTTCCTTCCTTCACATCCTTTCTGTAAGCTGGAATAATGCTGGCTAACTTCCAGTCAGCAGGGACCTCCCCAGACTCCCAAGATCATCTTTGGTAGATGATCAAGAGGGGTCCTGCCATAACATCCGCTAGCTCCTTCAGAACTCTGGGATGAATCCTATCAGGCCCCATGGACCTGAGAACATTCAGCTGATACAGCCAGTCCCTTACAATTTCAGTGTCCACAAATGGAAAGTCACTGTTCACATGCTCATGGTCCTCTGGCTCAGGGGACTGGGCAGCCCAAGGTCTATCAGTATTACTAAAGACCAAAGCAAAAAATACATTGAATGCCGCCGCTTCTTCTTCATCCCTATTAGTCAGATGACCATCTTCAACAAGTATTGGTCTGATGTTTTCTTTAGACCTCCTCTTCCTGTTAACATACTTGAAAAAGCCCTTCTTGTTATCTGAAACAACACTGGCCAGTTTCAGCTCTGAGCTTTGGCCTTTCCTGTCTTCTCCCTGCATAAATGAACCACACCTCTGTACTCTTCCTGTGAAGCCTGACCTCAGTTCCTGAGATGCTACAGTTCTTTTCTCCTCTTGAGCTCCACAAGGAGTCCCCTGTTCAGCCAAGCTGGTCGTCTGCCCCGCTTGCTTGACTCACGACACAGCAGAATTGCCTGCTTCTGTGCTTCTAAAAGGTGGTTCTTAAAGACTGACCAGCACTCCTAAGCCCTCAAAAGCAGATTCCCAGAGTACTCTGCTAAAAAGCTCCCTCAACAGCTTAAAGTTTGCTCTCCTGAAGTCCAGGGTAGCAACTCTGCTATCCTTTTTTCTCATTACACTCAACCATTTCACCATCACTGTGGCCAAGGCAGCCAGCTACCGTCACATCCCCCATGAATCCCTCTCTAGTCACAAACAGCACATCTAGGAGGGCATCTTTCCTAGCTGTCTCACTGAGTACCTGGGACAAGAAGTTATCGCCTACAAACTTCAAGAATTTCCAAGACCTGCTCATCAACACATGTCTCTCCTTAGGTCTCCTGAAAATTAGGAACCTTAATTGTGGAGGGCAGAGCTGACCTTTCATGGTGTATGCACACTCCTCCCAGTCTGTAAACTTCTGGAAAAAACCAACATACCCTACACACACCGATTGGTTTTTAATCTAGCTTACACTCTATTCACGAATGTACAAAGAGCTCTCAGATAACAGTAATCACCCTTCACAGGGGCCATGCAGTTAAAACTCACATGCTTCAAATTCCTTCAATACTGGCCCGGAAAGCACATTGAGAACCTGTAACACCTCTTGGGAATTTCTCTCCCTTTTCTTTTGACCAGGTGACAAGCACAATTTCCATCATAGCTGCTTCACTGAAGTACATAGCCAGTGTTAGGGTCAGAAAGTAAAAATAAAAATAATAATTTTTAAAAACAAACAGAAAAGCAGATCTCTTTCACTGGTTCCTGGGCAAGCAGGACAGGATGCAAACTACCATTTTTTAGGTAGAATTAATTTTCAGCTGGATTCCCAAACCAGCTTGTTGTGCATTAGGTAAGCCCCAGGCTCAGTCAAAAGGAAGGGGTGGGAAAGCACGGCTGAGAAAAAGGAGGAAGGACAGGACCACTAGAAGCCAGATTCACCTTGGTTCAGACCACACTCAAAATAGCTCTGCATTGCAAAACTACTTCATGCGCATCTCTGCTGGTACGGTCTACTGCCACTGGCAGTTTTACTCTTTTTTCCCTATAATGGAAGCAACAACAATTTTCAATCAGTGCAGGTAATACACAGAAACAAAGAAAACTTCTTTTGAAACATGTTTGGAGTTTAATCACTTCAACAGTGTGTTGCACTTCAGTAACAGAAACACCAAACGATGTTAAACTATGTTTAACCTGCTCCTTGTGTCAAGAAACATTAAAAGCAGTGACCAGAGGGGCAGCATGCGGGAGGAATGCAGTTCCTCTGCTATTTAAGCCAAAATAATCTACTTAATATTCTAATTCCTCAGAAGCTTGGAAAGAGGGAGGGCAAGACCATAGCAAGCTAGGCTCAAAGGCAACTGCCTTTGAAAGGCACTCAGGTTCAGCAGTTGTTGTTAACACTGAAGTACAACCTCTTTACTCTACTGAAAATTTATTTACTTGCTCAGCTGACAGGACAGTTATTTCTTCTTTCATGATTCCATAGTAATATTTTAGCTATAAAGTCTTTTCAGAGGAGAAAAAGATTTCACCCATATCTGGGCATGTAGCTTCAGAATTT